ACATCTGGCAATCCTGTATTACAGACCGCTCCTGTAATGTGGAGAAATTAGAGAGTGTAGTGTAGGGGAGAATCCAAGCACACACACACACTTCAGAGGCATGACATACAGGCTCCGAGTGTGTTTACAGACACACACACTTCATCAGCATGACTTTACAGTGCTAACTGTAACTAACACTGTGGAACATGTCATCTCAAAAACCACATGGTTTTTCCACTCACTATAGTAAAAGGCAACTACAGCAGGTGTCCACAGTAACAGCCACTTGGATGTAAACATCTACTATAAACATATTTGTCTTTCTTTTGCAAAGGAATTGTTTCTTAATTCTATTTTTTTCTAGTTGCTGTTGCGCTATGGAAAAGATACTAAAAGTGCACATTAAGCAATACAATACCTCATGAAAGCCATCAGTTTCAACAAAGCCGGTCCCGTTCAATGTTATGGCACAGCAGTGCCACCTAGTGGCAATATGAAGTGTTGCAACATGGTAATTACATGGTAACATTTTACATTTACATTTACATTTTAGTCATTTAGCAGACGCTCTTAACCAGAGCGACTTACAGGAGCAATTAGGGTTAAGTGCCTTGCTCAAGGGCACATTAACGTCATTTAGCAGACGCTCTTAGCCAGAGCGACTCACAAATTGGTGCGTTCACCCTATAGCCAGTGGGATAACCACTTTACAATTTGGGGGGGGGGGGGGGGGGGGGGTTAGAAGGAATACTTTATCCTATCCCAGGTATTCCTTAAAGAGGTGGGGTTTCAAATGTCTCCGGAAGGTGGTGAGTGACTCCGCTGTCCTGGCGTCGTGAGGGAGCTTGTTCCACCATTGGGGTGCCAGAGCAGCGAACAGTTTTGACTGGGCTGAGCGGGAGCTATGCTTCCGCAGAGGAAGGGGAGCCAGCAGGCCAGAGGTGGATGAACGCAATGTCCTCGTTTGGGTGTAGGGACTGATCAGAGCCTGAAGGTACAGAGGTGCCGTTCCCCTCACTGCTCCATGGGCAAGCACCATGGTCTTGTAGCGGATGCGAGCTTCAACTGGAAGCCAGTGGAGTGTGCGGAGGAGGGGGGGTGACGTGAGAGAACTTGGGAAGGTTGAACACCAGACGGGCTGCGGCATTCTGGATGAGTTGTAGGGGTTTAATGGCACAGGCAGGGAGCCCAGCCAACAGCGAGTTGCAGTAGTCCAGACGGGAGATGACAAGTGCCTGGACCAGGACCTGCGCCGCTTCCTGTGTAAGGCAGGGTCGCACTCTCCGAATGTTGTAGAGCATGAACCTGCAGGAGCGGGTCACCGCCTTGATGTTGGCGGAGAACGACAGGGTGTTGTCCAGGGTCACGCCTAGGCTCTTCGCACTCTGGGAGGAGGACACAGCGGAGTTGTCAACCGTGATGGCGAGATCATGGAACGGGCAGTCCTTCCCCGGGAGGAAGAGCAGCTCCGTCTTGCCAGGGTTCAGCTTGAGGTAGTGATCCGTCATCCATACTGATATGTCTGCCAGACATGCAGAGATGCGATTCGCCACCTGGTTATCAGAAGGGGGAAAGGAGAAGATTAGTTGTGTATCGTCAGCGTAGCAATGATAGGAAAGGCCATGTGAGGATATGACAGAGCCAAGTGACTTGGTGTATAGGGAGAAAAGGAGAGGGCCCAGAACCGATCCCTGGGGGACACCAGTGGTGAGAGCACGTGGTGCGGAGACAGCTTCCCGCCACGCCACTTGGTAGGAGCGACCGGTCAGGTAGGACGCAATCCAGGAGTGAGCCGCGCCGGAGATGCCCATCTCGGAGAGGGTGGAGAGGAGGATCTGATGGTTCACAGTATCAAAGGCAGCAGACAGGTCTAGAAGGACAAGAGCAGAGGAGAGAGAGTTAGCTTTAGCAGTGCGGAGAGTCTCCGTGACACAGAGAAGAGCAGTCTCAGTTGAATGACCAGTCCTGAAACCTGATTGGTTTGGATCAAGAAGGTCATTCTGAGAGAGATAGCAAGAGAGTTGGCTAAAGACGGCACGCTCAATAGTTTTGGAAAGAAAAGAAAGAAGGGATACTGGTCTGTAGTTGTTGACATCAGTGGGGTCGAGTGTTGGTTTTTTGAGAAGGGGAGTAACTCTCGCTCTCTTGAAGACGGAAGGGACATGGCCAGCGGTCAAGGATGAGTTGATCAGCGAGGTGAGGTAGGGGAGAAGGTCACCGGAGATGGTCTGGAGAAGGGAGGAGGGGATGGGGTCAAGCGGGCAGGTTGTTGGGCGGCCTGCAGTCACAAGTCGCAGGATTTTATCTGGAGAGAGAGGGGAGAAAGAAGTCAAAGCATAGGGTAGGGCAGTGTGAGCAGGACCAGCAGTGTCATTAGACTTAACAAACGAGGATCGGATGTCGTCAACCTTCTTTTCAAAGTGGTTGACGAAGTCATCCACAGAGAGAGAGGAGGGGGGGGGGGGGGGGGGGGGAGGATTCAGGAGGGAGGAAAATGTGGCAAAGAGCTTCCTAGGGTTAGAGGCAGATGCTTGGAATTTAGAGTGGTAGAAGGTGGCCTTAGCAGCAGAAACAGATGAAGAAAATGTAGAGAGGAGGGAGTGAAAAGATGCCAGGTCGGCAGGGAGTTTAGTTTTCTTCCATTTCCGCTCCGCTGCCCGGAGCTCTGTTCTGTGAGCTCGCAATGAGTCATCAAGCCACGGAGCTGGAGGGGAGGACCGAGCCGGCCGGGAGGATAGGGGACACAGAGAGTCAAAGGATGCAGAAAGGGAGGAGAGGAGGGTTGAGGAGGCAGAATCAGGAGATTGGAGGGAGAAGGATTGAGCAGAGGGAAGAGATGATAGGATGGAAGAGGAGAGAGTAGTGGGAGAGAGAGAGCGAAGGTTGCGGCGGCGCATTACCATCTGTGTAGGGGCAGAGTGAGTAGTGTGGGAGGAGAGTGAGAGAGAAAAGGAAACAAAGTAGTGGTCGGAGACATGGAGGGGAGTTGCAGTGAGATTAGTAGAGGAGCAGCATCTAGTGAAGATGAGGTCAAGCGTATTGCCTGCCTTGTGAGTAGGGGGGGACGGTGAGAGGGTGAGGTCAAAAGAGGAGAGGAGTGGAAAGAAGGAGGCAGAGAGAAATGAGTCAAATGTGGACATAGGGAGGTTGAAATCCCCCAAAACTGTGAGGGGTGAGCCATCCTCAGGGAAGGAACTTATCAAGGCGTCAAGCTCATTGATGAACTCTCCAAGGGAACCTGGAGGGCGATAGATGACAAGGATATTAAGCTTAAATGGGCTAGTGACTGTGACAGCATGGAATTCAAATGAGGAGATAGACAGATGGGTTAGGGGAAAAATTGAGAATGTCCACTTGGGAGAGATGAGGATTCCTGTACCACCACCCCTCTGACCAGATGCTCTCGGGGTATGCGAGAACACATGGTCAGACGAGGAGAGAGCAGTAGGAGTAGCGGTGTTTTCAGTGGTGATCCATGTTTCCGTCAGCGCCAGGAAGTCGAGGGACTGGAGGTTGGCATAGGCTGGGATGAAGTCAGCTTTGTTGGCAGCAGAACGGCAGTTCCAGAGGCTGCCTGCGACCTGGAACTCCACGTGGGTGGTGCGTGCAGGGACCACCAGGTTGGAGAGGCAGCAGCCACGCGGTGTGGTGCGTTTGTGTAGCCTGTGCAGAGAGGAGAGAACAGGGATAGGCAGAGGCATAGTTGACAGGCTGTAGCAAATGGCTACAAAAATGCAGAGGAGATCGGAATGAAATGGACTAAGCATCTGGGAGCGGAGAGAGCAGGGCCTCCCTCACCAACAACTGAACAACTGAAAGCTCCTTGTAACTTTGCACAGTTAACTAAAACACAAAAAGGTCAACGTGGCACAGTTTCTTATTTGAATATGATGAGGTAGAGCAGGGCTGGCCAACCATCTACCTGGAGAGCTACAGGCTTTTACTCTATCCTGAAAAGGAAAGTGAGTACAACATCCTGGCATTTAAAGCAGACTCAAATTTGATACATTTTGCAAACTGCTTAACTTACTATTTTTTGTGTACACAAAAGACATACCAATTAGGATGTACTATGAGAATTTGGGACATAGCCCTTCTCTCTGGGCTGGCACACTGCTCCATTGACTGAAGACCACACAGGAACTCCAAATGAGGTTTAAGGTGTCCTGCTGAGGCTGTCCTTATATGGTTCTTTCGGTCATCATTAATACTGAATGGTCATTAGTACAGCTCTGTGCTGTGCTTCAATGTCAACACTCAGTTCCTCTGAGATCACTTTCAGCGTCCAACTATCACTAATCCACACTTAACATGATTACAGACTATTTCTCAAGGTCAAGTGTTTCGGCCCTGTCACAATTGAAATCAATGCATTATAAAACAGAAATTGTGTCTAGAAAAATGGGACCATTCAAGTATCCTACAACATCATACACCATCTATTAAAAGGACAAGGGAAACAAATATTTAATAGCTTTTTAATTTAGAAATGGATACTTGCAACTGCACATTGATATGCAAACACACTTTTCCAGACATACAATACAAGATACGATGAAGCAAGCAGGTAACCACAGCTATGCAGACGGTTCCAACATTGTCCTTGGGAGATTCAGACTCCTCAATGTTCCTCTCCACCTCTCACCAGACATCATGTACATGGAGGCAGGTGGATGACCGAGCGCCATCAAGTGTTGAAAGAGCTTGACAGGGGTGGCTGAACACTGTTCCTTAGAGGCAGCACTGTCTGGTGCTTTTCATCTCTCTCTCAGCCACTTCATCGATCTATTCATGTTACTAATTGCTCATGGAGTGAATAATGTAGATTTGGCTTCGCAAACTTTACGTCATTTATTGATTTGACAGGAAAACCAGCAAACACTGCTACCCACCTGCTTACTGGAACTGCCCACCCGCTTACCGGAGCTGCCCACCCGCTTACCGGAACTGCCCACCCGCTTACCGGAACTGCCCACCCCTGGTTGAGAGAGGGTTGGGGTGAGGGGTTTGGGGCATTTTCACTTGCTCATCTCAGTCTGCACCTCCTTGAAGATGCGCTCCTCCAGGGCCGTGGTGTCGTACTCCTTCAGCATGTCATGCTCCCGCCAGGGCTCCTCCCACGTCTGGGCGTGCTCCAGCTTCTCGGGTGACAGGCACAGGTCGAAGCGGATGCCCTGCACGTTGTACTTGGGCCGCTCCCAGCGCTTGGACCATGGCTTGGGACGCATACGCACTCTGGTCTAGAGGGGGAGAGAGATATACACTGTTCAGAAGTTTGGGGTCACTTAGAAATGTCCTTGTTTTCCATGAAAACATACATGAAATGAGTTTGAATAGGAAATATAGCAAAATGAATAGGAAATGTAGTCATTGACAAGGTTAGAAATAATGATTTTTAATTGAAATAATAATAGTGTCCTTCAAACTTTGCTTTCGTCAAAGAATCCTCCATTTGCAGCAATTACAGCCTTGCAGACCTTTGGCATTTTAGTTGTCAATTTGTTGAGGTAATCTGTAGAGATTTCACACCATGCTTCCTGAAGCACCTCCCACAAGTTGGATTGGCTTAATGGACACTTCTTACGTACCATACAGTCAAGCTGCTCCCACAACAGCTCAATAGGGTTGAGATCCGATGACTGTGCTGGCCACTCCATTATAAACAGAATATCAGCTGACTGCTTCTTCCCTAAATAGTTCTTGCATAGTTTGGAGCTGTGCTTTGGTTAATTGTCCTGTTGTAGGAGGAAATTGGCTCCAATCAAGCGCCGTCCACAGGGTATGGCATGGCGCTGCAAAATGGAGTGATAGCCTTCCTTCTTCAAGATCCCTTTTACCCTGTACAAATCTCCCACTTTACCACCACCAAAGCACCCCCAGACCATCACATTGCCTCCACCATGCTTGACAGCTGGCATCAAGCACTCCTCCAGCATCTTTTCATTTGGTCTGCGTCTCACAAATGTTCTTCTTTGTGATCCGAACACCTCAAACTTTGATTCGTCTGTCCATAACACTTTTTTCCAATCTTCCTCTGTCCAGTGTCTGTGTTCTTTTGCCCATCTTAATCTTTTATTTTTATTGGCCAGTCTGAGATATGGCTTTTTCTTTGCAACTCTGCCTAGAAGGTCAGCATCCCGGAGTCGCCTCTTCACTGTTGATATTGAGACTGGTGTTTTGCGGGTACTATTTAATGAAGCTGCCAGTTGAGGACATATGAGGCGTCTGTTTCTCAAACTAGACACTAATGTATTTGTCCTCTCACTCAGTTGTGCACCGGGGACTCCCACTCCTCTTTCTATTCTGGTTAGAGCCAGTTTCCGCTGTTCTGTGAAGGGAGTAGTACACAGCGTTGTACGAGATCTTCAGTTTCTTGGCAATTTCTCGCATGGAATAGACTTCATTTCTCAGAACAAGAATAGACTGACGAGTTTCAGAAGAAAGTTATTTGTTTCTGGCCATTTTGAGCCTGCAATCGAAACCACAATTGCTGATGCTCCAGATACACAACTAGTCTCAAGAATGCCAGTTTTATTGCTTCTTAATCAGCACAACAGTTTTCAGCTGTGCTAACATAATTGCAAGAGGGTTTTCTAATGATCAATTAGCCTTTTAAAATGATAAACTTGGATTAGCAAACACAACGTGCCATTGGAACACAGGACTGATGGTTGCTGATAAATGGGCCTCTGTATGCCTATGTAGATATTCCATTAACAATCAGCAGTTTCCAGCTACAATAGCCATTTACAACATTAACAATGTCTACACTGTATTTCTGATCCAAAAAATTTTTTATTTCTAAGTGACCCCAAACTTTTGAACGGTAGTGGAGGTCAAACCAATACTGCTCTGTACAGACAGGCCTCGGGTAATGAATCTGTACCAATCATGTTGTTAGCAATACATGTTCTTTATAAAACAAAGGCCACTTCCATGTTATGTTAACAGACTTCAGTTGTTAAGTGAAACATAGGTCTAAATATTAAGTGTCTCAGCATTGTGTTAAACATAATAAAGAACTCAAGTTTGATTTGAGCTGAGCTAACTGCCATATATGCTGTCTATTCAGAGGTCAAGATGATTAATTGATTGAATAATAACTATGTGTTATGAGAGAGCGGAAGCTAGCCATTTACTTTATTGATGGGCACGTCCCCGGTGACAGAGTGGGGCACGGGCTTCATGTCCAAGTCCACGGTGCTGTACTCGGGCAGGGCATCTCTCAGGTACATCAGATTGTTGTCCAGCCTCTTCTCCAGCTTCAGGACCTCCAGCTGCTGCAGCCGCGGGCTGTACATCTCATAGCAGATCTCAACTCCTGAGGGAGAGAGAGATACACAGCCAATGGTTATCATTGCCAACCAGGTTAGGGGAGTTCCTAACTAATCAGTGACCTTAATTGATGGATCAAGTACAAAGGAGGATCGAAACCTGCAGACGCTCGGCCCTCCAGGACTGGAATGCCAGTTTTCAGCTGTGCTAACAGGACTTAATTGGACACGAATTGAAAGGAAGTAACAACAACCAGCAGACAAAGCCCTCCAGGAAGTGAGTTTGCCACCCCTGGCCTTTACTCAGAGGTCACAGGCACACAATAAACCAAGTCTGCCCAAACCTTGTCCTGGATTTACCCTTCTGCTGGATTTCACTACAATCCTAATCTAGAACACCTGATTCTACAACACTGAACAAAAATATAAAACCAACATGCAATAATTTCAAAGGTTTTACTGAGTTACAGTTCATAGAAGGAAATCAGTCAATAGAAATAAAATCATTAGGCCCTAATCTATTGATTTCACATGACTGGGAATACAGATATGCATCTGTTGGTCACAGATACCTTAAAAAAAGGTAGGGGTGTGGATTTCTGTGGATCAGAAAACCAGTCAGTATCTGGTGTGACCACCATTTGCCTCACGCAGCGCGACACATCTCCTTCGCATAAAGTTGACCAGGCTGTTGGTTGTGGAATGTTGTCTCACTCCTCTTCAATGGCTGTGTGAAGTTGCTGGATATTGGTGGGAACTGGAACACGCTGTCGTACACGTCAATCCAGAGCATCCCAAACATGCTCAATGGGTGTCATGTATGGTGAGTATGCAGGCCATGGAAGAACTGGGACATTTTCAGCTTCAAGGAATTGTGTGCAGATCCTTGTGACATGGGACCGTGCATTATCATGCTGAAACATGACGGCGGAGGATGAATGACACGACAAGCATATGCCCACTGAAGTCGCTTATGACGCCGAACTGCAGTCAGGTCAAGACCCTGGTGAGGACGTCTAACAGTTTGTGCAGAAATCCTTCGGTTGTGCAAACCCACAGTTTCATCAGCTGCCCAGGTGGCTAATCTCAGACGATCCCGCAGGGAAGAAGCCGGATGTGGAGGTCCTGGGCTGGCGTGGTTACACGTGGTCTGTGGTTGTGAGGCCGGTTGGACATACTGCCAAATTCTCTAAAATGACGTTGGAGGCAGCTTACGGTAGAGTAATTAACATCACATTTCTGGCAACAGCTCTGGTGGACATTCCTGCAGTCAGCATGCCAATTGCACGCTCCCTCAAAACTTGAGACATCTGTGGCATTGTGTTGTGACAAAAACTGCACATTTTACAGTGGCCTTTTATTGTCCCCAGCACAAGGTGCACCTGTGTAATGATCATGCTGTTGAATCAACTTCTTGATATGCCACACCTGTCAGGTGGATGGATTATTTTGGCAAAGGAGAAATGCTCACTAACAGGGATGTAAACAAATTTGTGCACAAAATTTGAGAGAAATAAGCTTTTTGTGCATATGGAACATTTCTGGGATCTTTTATTTCAGCTCATGAAACCAACACTTTGCATGTTGCGTTTATATTGTTGTTCAGTATAATTTGCTGCTAACCAGGAGAGAGTGAAAGCCTGCCTACCCAGTAGCTCTCCAGGAAGAGTGTTGGCCACCCATGCACTAAATCAATGGAAATTGAGGTTCTACACTTCAGACTGAAACTGATGTTTCAGTCACACTCATCCAACTGAGATATTTATCCAGGAAGCAATATAACCTCTTATACAACTGAATTAACAAAGAGTCTTGGCGGTGCAAAAACACACACACATACACACTCTTCACATGATAACTTTTGTGTACTTCATGATTATCCCCACCCTGGCCGTCGATGATATTCCTCAGGACAAATGTGGCTCCCAGTCCATGGCCACCTCTCTGGATGCAGATGCCCATAAAGTGGTTGGTTTTGCCGCTGGCATGAGGGTCCGCCGTGGTCACAGCTAAGACACTTCCTGCAAAACACAACGGCTGCTTTAAGTCATAATCAACACATTCATTTGATAACTCCTTCAAAAAGATAGAGGAAATGCCAGTATCTCTCCTCATAATGTGACGAGATATACAGTACATTTCGTTACATTACAGCCTTATTCTGAAATGGAGCCATTACAGGAGATATGGTGGTGATGAAACAATGACCTCTGAACCTTCCCTCCCCGAGGAGGATCTCTGCTGTCCTGTGTGCTGTGACATCTTCAAGGAGCCAGTTTTCCTGTCATGTACACACAGCTTCTGCAAAGTTTGTCTGAAATAATTCTGGAAATAGAAGGGAACTCAGGAATGTCCAATGTGCCGGAAAATAATGTCAATGGACAACCCTCCATGTAACCTGGTTTTAAAGAACCTGTGCGAGGTCTTCTTAGAGGAGAAAAGTCTGAGGTGCTCTGCAGTCAACACCGTGAGAAACTAAAACTATTCTGTCTGGATGACAAACAGCCCACCTGGGTGGTGTGTCGGGATTCAAAGAAACATAAAAAGCATGACTGCATCCCCATAGATGAAGCTGCAATGGATCATAAGGAGGAAGTTAAGACCGCACTGAAGCCATTAAAGAAGAAGCTGGAGGTCTTCAACGCAGTTAAACTGATCTGTAATCACACAGCAGGGCACATTAAGAGTCAGGCCCAGCACACAGCGAGGAAAATTAAGAAGGAGTTTGAGAAGCTTCACCAGTTTCTACAAGATGAAGAGGAGGCCAGGATAGCTGCACTGAGGAAGGAAGAGGAGCAGAAGAGTCCAAAGATGAAGAAGATGATTAAGGAGATGAGCAGAGAGATATTATCTCTTTCAGACACAATCAGAGCCATAGAGGAGTTAGGAGATGAAGATGTATCATTCCTGCAGAACTACAAGGCCATGGTGAAAAGATCCCAGTGCACACTGCGAAATCCACAGAAGGTTACAGGAGCTCTGATCGATGTGGCAAAGCACCTGGGCAACCTGCAGTTCAGAGTCTGGGAGAAGATGCAGGGAATGGTTAAATACATCCCTGTGATTCTGGACCCCAACACTGCAGGAATAGGTCTCATCCTGTCTGAGGATCTGACCAGTGTGAGATACAGTGATGAGCCACAGCATTATCCTGACAACCTAGAGAGGTTTGATGACCCCTTTGTGGCCTTCGGCTCGGAGGGCTTTAGCTCAGGGACATATAGCTGGGACATTGCGGTTGGATAAAATACAGGCTGGGTCCTGGGTGTAGCCTTGCAGCCCGTCCAGAGGAAGGGAGACAGTGGCTTTGAATTTGGATCCTGGGGTGTGGAGTTTGTAAGAGGTGAATATTATCAAATCAAATCTAAATGTATTTGCCACATGCGTCGAATACAGCAGGTGTAGGTAGACATTACAGTGAAATGCTTACTTACAAGCCCTTATCCAACAATGCAGTTTTCTTTTTATGAAAAATGTAAAATAAAAAAGTGTTAATGAAAGAAAAATTGAAAATAAAGGCAAATAGCAGCAGTAAAATAAAATAACAGTAGGGAGGCTATATACAGGGGGGGGGGGGGTACCGGTACAGAGTCAATGTGCGGGGGCACCGGCTAGTCGAGGTAATTGAGGTCATATGTACATGGGGGTAGAGTTAAAGTGACTATGCATAAATAGTAAACAGAGTAGCAGCAGCATAAAAGAGGGGGATGGGGTGGGGGGGCAGTGCAAATAGTCGGGGTAGCCATGATTAGCTGTTCAGGAGTCTTATAGCTTGGGGGTAGAAGCTGTTGAGAAGCCTTTTGGACCTAGACTTGCCGTGCGGTAGCAGAGAGAACAGTCTATGACTAGGGTGGCTTGAGTCTTTGACAATTTTTATGGCCTTCCTCTGACACCGCCTGGTATAGAGGTCCTGTATGGCAGGAAGCTTGGCCCCAGTGATGTACTGGGCCGTACGCACTACCCTCTGTAGTGCCTTGCGGTCAGAGGCCAAGCAGTTGCCATACCAGGCGGTGATGCAACCAGTCAGGATGCTCTCGATGGTGCAGCTGTATAACTTTTTGAGGATCTGAGGACCCATGCCAAATCTTTTCAGTCTCCTGAGGGGGAATAGGTTTTGTCGTGCACTCTTCACGACTGTCTTGGTGTGTTTGGACCATGATAGTTCGTTGGTGATGTGGACACCAAGGAACTTGAAGCTCTCAACCTGTTCCACTACAGCCCCTTCGATGAGAATGGGGGCGTGCTCAGTCCTCTTTTTTTTCCTGTAGTCCACAATCATCTCCTTTGTCTTGATCACGTTGAGGGAGAGGTTGTTATCCTGGCACCACACGGCCAGGTCTCTGACCTCCTCCCTATTGGCTGTCTCATCGTTGTCGGTGATCAGGCCTACCACTGTTGTGTCGTCGGCAAACTTGATGGTGTTGGAGTCGTGCCTGGCCATGCAGTCATGGGTGAACAGGGAGTACAGGAGGGGACTGAGCACGCACCCCTGAGGGGCCCCCGTGTTGAGGATCAGCGTGGCAGACGTGTTGTTACCTCACCACCTGGGGGCGGCTCGTCAGGAAGTCCATGATCCAGTTGCAGAGGGAGGTGTTTAGTCTAAGGGACTATGGTGGTCTGCTTGAAACATGTTGGTATCTGTACTCCTTCGACTCCATTCCAAGTGAGAAAGCCCCAAATAATCAGAATACAGCTGGACTGGAAAAAGGGAGAGCTTTCGTTTGTTGATCCAGTCGATAACACTAAACTACACACATTCAAACACACCTTTAAAGAGACAGTCTTTCCATTCATCTCTACTATAAATTCACAGAGGATCTTACCAGGGAAGGTCTCTGTATCAGTCGATACTGCCTCTGTCTGAACCAGGTGTTTCCATTGTGTAAATGAGTCAGTGGTGTAAAATACTCAGAGGGAGTGGAGAGGACCTTCCTCCACCAACTACAATACATATTATAAACTGGTTGGTTCGAGCCCTGAATGCTGATTGGCTGACAGCCGTGATATATCAGACCGTATACCACCAGTATGACAAAACATGTATTTTTACTGCTCTAATTACGTTGGTTACCAGTTTATAATAGCAATAAGGCACCTCAGGGGTTTGTGGTATATGACCAATATACCACGGCTAAGGGCTGTATCCAGGCACTCCACGTTGCGTCGTGCTTAAGAACAGCCCATAGCCGTGGTATACAGTGGGGGAAAAAAGTATTTAGTCAGCCACCAATTGTGCAAGTTTGTCTGTCAACTATGACAGACAAAATGAAAAAAAAAATTCCAGAAAATCACATTGTAGGATTTTTAAGGAATTTATTTACAAATTATGGTGGAAAATAAGTATTTGGTCAATAACCAAAGTTTCTCAATACTTTGTTATATACCCTTTGTTGGCAATGACACAGGTCAAACGTTTTCTGTAAGTCTTCACAAGGTTTTCACACACTGTTGCTGGTATTTTGGCCCATTCCCCATGCAGATCTCCTCTAGAGCAGTGATGTTTTGGGGCTGTCGCTGGGCAACACGGACTTTCAACTCCCTCCAAAGATTTTCTATGGGGTTGAGATCTGGAGACTGGCTAGGCCACTCCAGGACCTTGAAATGCTTCTTAAGAAGCCACTCCTTTGTTGCCCGGGCGGTGTGTTTGGGATCATTGTCATGCTGAAAGACCCAGCCACGTTTCATCTTCAATGCCCTTGCTGATGGAAGGAGGTTTTCACTCAAAATCTCACGATACATGGCCCCATTCATTCTTTCCTTTACACGGATCAGTCGTCCTGGTCCCTTTGCAGAAAAACAGCCCCAAAGCATTATGTTTCCACCCCCATGCTTCACAGTAGGTATGGTGTTCTTTGGATGCAACTCAGCATTCTTTGTCCTCCAAACACGACGAGTTGAGTTTTTACCAAAAAGTTCTATTTTGGTTTCATCTGACCACATGACATTCTCCCAATCCTCTTCTGGATCATCCAAATGCACTCTAGCAAACTTCAGACGGGCCTGGACATGTACTGGCTTAAGCAGGGGGACACGTCTGGCACTGCAGGATTTGAGTCCCTGGCGGCGTAGTGTGTTACTGATGGTAGGCTTTTTTACTTTGGTCCCAGCTCTCTGCAGGTCATTCACTAGGTCCCCCCGTATGGTTCTGGGATTTTTGCTCACCGTTCTTGTGATCATTTTGACCCCACGGGGTGAGATCTTGCGTGGAGCCCCAGATCGAGGGAGATTATCAGTGGTTTTGTATGTCTTCCATTTCCTAATAATTGCTCCCACAGTTGATTTCTTCAAACCAAGCTGCTTACCTATTGCAGATTCAGTCTTCCCAGCCTGGTGCAGGTCTACAATGTTGTTTCTGGTGTCCTTTGACAGCTCTTTGGTCTTGGCCATAGTGGAGTTTGGAGTGTGACTGTTTGAGGTTGTGGACAGGTGTCTTTTATACTGATAACAAGTTCAAACAGGTGCCATTAATACAGGTAACGAGTGGAGGACAGAGGAGCCTCTTAAAGAAGAAGTTACAGGTCTGTGAGAGCCAGAAATCTTGCTTGTTTGTAGGTGACCAAATACTTATTTTCCACCATAATTTGCAAATAAATTCATTAAAAATCCTACAATGTGATTTTCTGGATTTTTTTTCCTCGGCCATATACCACAGTCCCTCTGGCCTTATTGCTTAAACGTGACACATCTCACATGTCAAACATTGATCCGACATCTAAATTAATATGACACTGTTTATAATGATCATAGAATGTAAATATAAAATGGTTTAAAGGTACAGAATGTAAATACATTTACGTTGCATTACTTATTGCCTTTATCGTGCCGATTTACATTGGCTGTGGCTTGTAGGGGATACATTGCCAAACTGGACGCAACATGCACCTGATACTGCGGCTATGTGGAGCATTGTTGAAGCCTAATTGATTTATTCAAAGTAATATTTATAGTATGCTGGTATTCATATTTCCATCAATGTTTTTGTTATTTTAAATATATTTTGTACTTTTTTTATTCTGTCCATACTTAGTTTAGCACCTGATGTTTGTGTCCCAATAAACAGACTTCCTGAAAATTATATCTCCAAATACACTGATAATTAATTAATAATTAAACAAAGCTAGGTGTTTTCATTATGTCACGAGGGATGGCAGGAGTTGGCAATGTTTATTTGTTTTTTTTAAATTAATGTTGTTGGGAAATTAAGAGATTAATTCCTGATGTTGGAATACTGACCGAAATTAAAGTTACCTCTTTATAGAAAAATAAATAATCCTGCACACACGGTTACCTCTGGAAATGAGCTGTTAGCTAAATATGGAACAACTCATCAAGTGTACTGAGACTTGTGTTTTTGTTGTACATTGTCCCTGTTCAAATAAACCTACTGAACAAAAATATAAACGCAACAGGCAAAAATTTTACTGAGTTACAGTTCATATAATGAAATCAGTAAATTGAAATAAATAAATTAGGCCCTAATTTATGGATTTCACATGATGGGCAGGGGCGCAGCCATGGGTGGGCCCGGAAGGGCATAGGCCCACCCACTTGGGAGCCAGGCCCAGCCAATCAGAATGAGTTTTTCCCAACAAAAGGGCTTTATTACAGACAGAAATACTCAATTTCATCAGCTGTCTGGGTGGCTGGACTCAGACGATCCAGCAGGTGAAGAAGCCGGATGTGGAGGTCCTGGGCTGGCAAGGTTACACGTGGTCTGCGGTTGTGAGGCCGGTTGGATGTACTGCTAAATTCTCTAAAATGACGTTGAAGGCGGCTTATGGTAGAGAAATGAACATTAAATGCCCTGGCAAAAGCTCTGGTGGACATTACTGCAGTCAGCATGCCAATTGCACGCTCCCTCAAAATTTGAGGAATCTGTGGCATGGCGTTGTGTGACAAAAACTGCACATTTAAGAGTGGCCTTTTATTGTCCCCAGCACAAGGTGCACCTGTGTCATGATCGTGCTGTTTAATCAGCTTCTTGATATGCCACACCTGTCAGGTGGATGGATTATCTTGGCAAAGGAGAAATGCTCTCTAACAGGGATGTAAACACATTTGTCCACAAAATTTGAGAGAAATAAGCTTTTAGTGACTATGGAACATTTCTGGGATCTTTTATTTCAGCTCATGAAACATGGGACCAACACTTTACATGTTGCGTTTATATTTTTGTTCAGTATATATATAAAACATTGTCCCTGTTCAAGTAAACCTATATCCAAAAATGGAGGCCATCGGCAACGTGATCGCTAGGTGGCAGTGGGCACTCAAAATCCTTCTATAACTTCATCCTTTATTTTTGCAAAATGAGACCCACACGGAAAGAAGAGGAGGATGTTTGTGTAACAGAGATAAGACTGTCTCATAAGTTCGATGTGCCATCACACAGATCCTTTTCGGTGGCATAACTGGTTTGTTAATTGTCAAATGGTTGGTCACGTGTATTGGCGAGGTAGAGAGTGCCAGATCAAGTACGGGTAAGGATGTTGTGAGCAAGGAAGCAATTCTGCTAAGCAGCAGCGTGAAGCCTGTTACATTAGCAATCCAATAACAGCTTTACAATAACTACTGAATGCAAGTAGCTTTTTTGCAACAGAATATCACACTCATTTTCAGCATGGGTCATTGAATGGAGCTTTCAATAGACTCTGTTCTGTACAGGGCTGGCTAGTAGCCTGGCCCTTGATCATGACTCTCAGTTCTATTACATTACACATAAGAGTCATTGGACGAAGGCGTCTTCTGTAGGGGGGAGTTTTGTTAAGCTCCCCGGTGCTCAACCTGAACATTAACACATGTCGCTTGCGGTATGGTATTGGAAGCATAAGGACCTTATCTTTCATATCAGCAAGAAAAGGGTTAAATTGATACACACCTTGATAGGGTTAGTGTTACAACACACGGCCATATCTCCATGTTAGAGCTTGAAGTTTACGGAAAACAGACAGAAGACAAGAGGGGACCGACCACCTGTGCTGTATCGTAAGCGATGATTATTGACGTTTCTAAACGTTAAAACACAGCGTCGGGATTGTAGTTCATGAGGCAGTCGTAGGCAAAGTTAATGGCTGATAACTGTAGGGAGAAGGCAGAATGCTTTTCAAGACCTTGTTAGTAGCCTAGATAGGATGGTGTGTATTGAAGTCTCATTTATAAACCAACTATCTCAAAAGGTCTCTTACCAACATAAAACTCTGGAATGTTGAGCACTTTCCTCCTCTGGATCATGTCTTTGCGCTCAATGGAGAACTTCAATGGGTTTATTCTCTGTCGGGGTGGGATGAATTCTGGACTCAGGAACCTGTATTAAAAAACAGAACCAAAGCAGGAATGGAATGATATTATGTCGCATAATTGCTGATAAAACAAGAGGAATTGCAAAAGGAAACAGTTACTATAAATCACATCACAGTTTGTGTTATCATGCCAATGTTTGGTTTGGCAATGACAGCAATGGTGTTGGCAAGAACACCAATTATAGGACCAGGCTTGCATCACATCACCATGTTTTCAGTGTTATGAACACAGTTTGTTAACTAGAATGTCTTTACTTACTTTCGCAGTGAAGCCTCGGACTGTGTTTTGTCAATGATGACAGGTTTTGGTGGAGGGGTGAATTTTGTTGGCTTGCCACCGTCACTCTCCTGCGCGAGGCGACGCATAGATGTGGACAAGAAACCTAAGGAGGAAACAAAAGACTCAGTCTGTTTATAATATTAAACATTTCAATAGCCATCTCGAACTAGAACAGCAGCTAGCTATCTAGCTAAAAACAATGTAATTTTGTAACACAGTGGGTGGCTAGCTGGCTAACATAACTACCGTTAGCTAACGTAGCTAGCTAGCAACGTCTAGGGCAGTTTTGGCTAAATCTAGCTAAGGAATGCCCAACTGATTGATAGCAACCCTTCGAGCTACACTTATTTTATAATTCCATGTGACTTACGTTCATTTTGCTGTTGTATATTCCGTAACAACCTTATTGAACACATAACTTTGTCAAGCCTTCGTGTGCAAGAAGCCATATTGGAAGCTGACCTTCGCTGTCACATGTGAATTGTTACGGAAGCCGAAAAGGGTTAAGTGTTTCAAGAGACGCAACATGCACATCATCCGTTCGTCCACACGATGTCACTAAAGACATAGGCTACATCAAAGAGCCACCAACAAAAATGAGGAGGAGGAGGAGGAGGAGGAGGGGGAGAAGGAGGAAGAGGAGGATGGTGGTGTTGAATCATTTCAGCATTTCAATCAGTCATAGTCATTTCAGTTGATTCCAATGCTGAAGAAATAACCTACTGTGCTGTAGCAATGAGGAGGATCCACTGAAGGAGAGCTTGAACCACTGCCCTGTGGTTACAGGGGGAGTAGCCTGCCCTACACTGTGACATAAAAGCCTGGGCCTCTTGGTAGAGGCAGTATACCATACAGGTGCTACACTATACCCACTTTCTTGAGAAGCACCCTGCATCCAAACCCCAATGCAAACCAGGGAGCATTTCCAACTAGGTCCTGAGGGATTCCATCAATGTAACAATTAAAGAGGAACAGCCAAAGCCAGGTTTAAACCATGCCTCTTGGTCAGGTTTTCCCAAACTCGGTCCCGGGGACCCCAAGGGGTGCACATTACATGTTTGCCCTGGCATTGAATCAAATAATAAATGCTTGATAATGGCTCTATTATTTAAATCAGTTGTGTAGCGCTATGGCAAAAAAAACTAAATGTGCACCAGCACGCCTTGGGGTCCCCAGGATCGAGTTTGGGAAACGCTGGCCAAGAGTCAGCCTTCTCACAAGCAGGCTAGTGACATTCTACAACAATCTCAGTTCTATGCGAGAGTGCATGTAAAATTGTTTTCAATTCCATAGATTGACTAATGTGGGGTACATCTTTTCTAATGACTTTGTATTTATCTTGTTTAATGCATCTGTTTGGGTACCTGTCATCTTTGAATTGTGGTGTTATGTTTTTTATTATTATCTAATCCGAATGCCAGAACCGAAGTTGCCTCTGGGAAGAAATAAAGTTATTATATTATATTTCTGAATGGGATACAAAAATGGTTATAATCGCTTGTAATATAGTGGTTGTCCACCCAGTGACTTTACTGATGCAGCGCGCCGGAACCGGGGCTTTGAGACCATGCGGATACCGCTCCTACAGGTGGGCCAGCCAGCCACTTCCACGCGCAGCTCGAAATAGAAGTTCCCAAGTGAATCGCTTCTTGGCTCGAGGTCTCGTTCCTTCTCTCCTCCGAAGAATGATGAGGTGATTCGGAGCACGAGCCATGGGACCGAGCATCTACTGCTGCTTGCCACGCAGAACCTAAACTCCAAAGCAACCCTGGACCTTCAGAACGTGGAGGAGAAGTAACTCCAAAACGTCTCGCTGTTTCAAGGATGTTCTTCCCAGATGTGCCTCTCTCAGCCATCAATTACGCGCTCGTGTTGGGAATAACGTGTCTGACGGTCTTCTGCAACTTCACCAAAAGTTCTTCTGAGTTTTCAGGTTGGGAAAGCATGCTTACCCCAGTCTAATTGATGCTGCGTTTGTTTTACCATTGTAGTCTATATTCTGTGTAGTACATGCGTTATACTAGTTGTTTTTGGCAAGAACAAGTGAGGGCATACATTGAGAAATCCATATTGGGTGGTGGTGGTGGTTCATATATACAATCATTGTGTGCTGGTCAGGTGATGAAGTCGCGGTCATCTGCACAGAAAGTATTGTGGGCTAGGCTACTTTATGTTTAGGATTTTCAGAGTGCAGTAAGGATTGTTATTGATCGCAGTTTTTTACTACTTGTATTGTAGTATATTGGCCCAATTTGGCGTGTTAGAACCAGCGTGTTGCAACCTGTCGTGCATGTGTTTGCTTCAAATCAAAAAGACCAAATATTTTAAAGGCACGCAGTAAGATGTAGGCATTTCCATCTACAAGGACCCATTAGCACCAAAATGGGAAGTTCATAGGAGCATGTCAAATTGGGTGTCAAATGAAAGCTAAGAGTATATTTTTGAGAAATTAAGGCATATATACACTACCAGTCAATAGTTTGGACACACCTACTCATTCAAGGGTTTTTCTTTATTTGTAATATTTTCTACATTGTAGAATAATAGTGAAGACATCAAAACTATGAAATAACACATATGTATCATGTAGTAACCAAAAAAGTGTTAAACAAATCAAAATACATTTTTGATTTTAGATTCTTCAAATTAGCCACCCTTTGCCTTAATGACAGCTTTGCACACTCTTGGCATTCTCTCAACCAGCTTCATGAGGAATGCTTTTCTAACAGTCTTGAAGGAGTTCCCAAATATGCTTGAAGGAGTTCCTTCACTCTGCGGTCCAACTCATCCCAAACCATCACAATTGGGTTGAGGTCGGGTGATTGTGGAGGCCAGGTCAACTGATGCAACACTCCATCACCCTCCTACTTGGTCAAATAGCCCTGACACAGCCTGGATGTGTGTTTTGGGTCATTGTCCTGGTCAAAAGTTTTGAGAATGACACAAGTATTGGTCTTCACAAAGTTCGCTGCTTCAGTGTAATGAGATATTTTTGTCAGATGTTACTATGGTATACTGAAGTATAATTACAAGCATTCCATAAGTGTCAAAGGCTTTTATTGACAATTACATTAAGTTTATGTAAACAGTCAATATTTGCAGTGTTGACCCTTCTTTTTCAAGACCTCTGCAATCTGCCCTGGCATGTGTCAATTAACTTCTGGGCCACATCCTGACTGATGGCAGCCCATTCTTGCATAATCAATGCTTGGAGTTTGTTAGAATTTGTGGGTTTTTGTTTGTCCACCCGCCTCTTGAGGATCGACCACAAGTTCTCAATGGGATTAAGGTCTGGGGAGTTTCCTGGCCATGGACCCAAAATGTCGATGTTTTGTTCCCCGAGCCACTTAGTTATCACTTTTGCCTTATGGCAAGGTGCTCCATCAAGCTGGAAAAGGCATTGGTTGTCACCAAACTGTTCTTGGATGGTTGGGAGAAGTTGCTCTCGGAGGATGTGTTGGTACCATTCTTTATTCATGGCTGTGTTCTTAGGCAAAATTGTGAGTGAGCCCACTCCCTTGGCTGAGAAGCAACCCCACACATGAATGGTCTCAGGATGCTTTACTGTTGGCATGACACAGGACTGATGGTAACGCTCACCTTGTCTTCTCCGGACAAGGTGTTTTCCGGATGCCCCAAACAATCGGAAAGGGGATTCATCAGAGAAAATAACTTTACCCCAGTCCTCAGCAGTCCAATCCCTGTACCTTTTGCAGAATATCAGTCTGTCCCTGATGTTTTCCTGGAGAGAAGTGGCTTCTTTGCTGCCCTTCTTGACACCAGGTCATCCTCCAAAAGTATTCGCCTCACTGTGCGTGCAGATGCACTCACATCTCTGCACTGGTGGTGCCCCAATCCCACAGCTGAATCAACTTTAGGAGACGGTCCTGGTGCTTGCTGGACTTTCTTGGGCACCCTGACACCTTCACAACAATTGAACCTCTCTCCTTGAAGTTATTGATGATCCGATAAATGGTTGATTTAGGTGCAATCTTACTAGCAGCAATATCCTTGACTGTGAAGCCCTTTTTCTGCAAAGCAATGATGACGGCACGTGTTTCCTTGCAGGTAACCATGGTTAACAGAGGAAGAACAATGATTTCAAGCACCACCCTCCTTTTAAAGCTTCCAGTCTGTTATTCTAACTCAATCAGCAGGACAGAGTGATCTCCAGCCTTGTCCTCGTCAACACTCTCACCTGTGTTAACGAGAGAATTTCTGACATGATGGCAGCTGGTCCTTTTGTGGCAGGGCTGAAATGCAGTGGAAATTTTTTTTGGGGATTAAGTTCATTTTCATGGCAAAGAGGGACTTTGCAATTAATTGCAATTCATCTGATCACTCTTCATGACATTCTGGAGTATATGCAAATTGCCATCATCAAAACTGAGGCAGCAGACTTTGTGAAAAATAGTATTTGTGTCATTCTCAAATCTTTTGACCACGACTTTACACACATACACAAGTATGTGAACACCCCTTCAAATTAGTGGATTCGGCTATTTCAGCTACACCCATTGCTGATGGGTGTATAAAATCGAGCACACAGCCATGCAATCTCCATAGACAAACATTCGCAGTAGAATGGCCTTACTGAAGAGCTCAGTGACTTTCAACATGGCACCGTCATAGGATGCCACCTTTCCAACAAGTCAGTTCATCACATTTCTGCCCTGCTTGAGCTGCCCCGGTGAACTGTAAGTTCTGTTATTGTGAGGTGGAAACGTCTAAGAGCAACAACGGCTCAGCTGCGAAGCTGTATAGTGCATAGTGCCAACTGTAAAGTTTGGAGGAGGAATAATGGTCTGGGGCAGTTTTTTATGGTTCGGGGTAGACCCCTTAGCTCCTGTCTGAAGGAAAATCTTAACGCTACAGCATACAATGACATTCTAGACGATTCTGTGATTCCAACTTTGTGGCAACAGTTTGGGGAAGGCCCTTTCCTGTTTCAGAATGACAATGCCCCTGTGCAAAAAGAAAGGTCCATACAGAAATGGTTTGTCGAGATCTGTGTGGAAGAACTTGACTGGCCTGCACAGAGCTCTGACCTCAACCCCATCGACTGCGGGCCTACTCGCCCAACATCCGTGCCCGACCTCACTCATGCTCTTGTGGCTGAATGGAAGCAAGTCCCTGCAGCAATGTTCCGACGTCTAGTGGAAAGCCTTCCCAGAAGAGTGGAGGCTGTTATAGAAGCAAAGGGGGGAACCAACTCCATATTAATGCCCATGATTTTGGAATGAGACGTTCAACGAGCAGGTGTCCACATACTATTGGTCATGTAGTGTAGCTATAGACAGAACAGTACAGTAAAGAAAACTAGAGTACAGTAGAGAAGAGTACATTAAAGCCCTCTAGAGTACAGTATAATGTACTGTATTGCACTGTACTCTACTGTAATGTACTGAACATGTCTAATGTACTGTACTGTACTCTACTGTGGTGTGTTGTGCTGTACCGTGCTGTCCAATCTGGTGAAACATA